AATTTGCATTTATTTCTCATAAAATAAATATATTAGAAGATAAAAATTATTTAAAAAGTTAAAACACAAACAAAAGTAATACTGACACAATTTATAAACACAAACAAAACATGGAAGCATATTTTTTCTGAGATTGAAAAATTAACCTTTTGTGATATGTTAAATTAATATATATTTTATTCAATCATTTTAAAATTTACATTTTAAAACACATTATTTATTCACCTATTTAGACAGTCTTCTGTCTCAAGATATTTAAAATAAAAAAATTATTTAAATTAAAAAAAGCTCGGTTTAAGCTCGGTTTTTGGTAAACAAAAAAAATTTCTTCCGTCAAAGATTGCACACTATTTTTTAACGATCTGATTAATTTTATATTAACCTCTATATTTTTTGTACAATTGTATTAATCAGCAATTAAAACGTCTTAAATTATGTATTTTCGTATCTTACCTATAATCGTAAAGATACGCGTAATTAAGAAACAGTGGTCGAACCCAATGATGATTGTAATGTGGCGGCTCAAGCTTTAATAATTTCAAGACAGGTTTCTCAGCAGTCTCAGCAGGCGTACCTTCCGCCACACTTTCGGCTTGCGGAGCGGGTTCCTCGATGTCCCATGGTGCAGCTTCTTCGTCCGTCCACATTGTAATCTCGTTATATATATATATAATATGTACTCACTTCGATAATGAACCTACAAACAATTACGTGTTGCGTGTCATTATTAATTATAAATATTATTGTAAATTACGGATTCAATTTATATCAATTCGTTGAATTAAAAAACATTTGGTTATTTTCATTTTCATGTGTATTAAAATGTATTATTTTAATACAAAACAATGATTAAAAGAAGTCATCTAGTCGACTTATTTTTATGCAAGTTGAATTGCTTACAATTTAGTTTTAAAGTAAATTAACATATACACTTAATAATAATAACTACATTTGAATCAAATTTGATACATTTCTTCAGTTAAAGTGTCTAACTTTATTGTTTTACAATTAATTAAAATAACAATTATTGAGTAGAAACAAAGGCGACCTATGGAAATGATTAAAAAATGACTTAACTTGAATAAAATTTGACATTACGAATTTAAATTGGCTTGATAAGTAATTAAAAAGTATCCCTTCATTTTCTTTTATCTATTTCATATCTGTTTTTTTTTAAATTTATAACATCAATTTATTTTTCGCTTCCGTTACTTTCTTAAACTGCGAGAGCGTAATCAAACATTAATTTAATTTTCGATAGGATTTATTTAGTCGATTGAGTATATACATATATCGTGTAAAGAAATGGGTCATCACAAGACATAACAAACCATTTGGCTGAGGTATCAATTAACTTGAGGTATTTGTGGCGAAACAAAATGCCATACAATTTACAAACTGTGCTCAAATGTCTTGATGCTTATATAAAATACCCATTCAATTATTCTGTGCATCAAGAAATAAGACAGTATGAAATAATCACGATTATGAAGCAATATTTATAACTATCGTTTTTATTGCATTTTGATGGGATTATAATTTCTTTTAGCAGATGAAATAGAATATAAACGACCACTATTAAATTTGTGATGTAAAATTATACACGATTTTGTGTATAATTTATTGTCATTTTTAATCATTCCAGGAAATCCTCTTATTTAATGTTATTTTAAGTTAACTAAAATAATAAAATTAAATAATTTAATTCATACAAAAGATATATCTATTAAATTGATTTATTAAAGTTTGATCACTATTATTTATAAAATGAATGTCAAATGGACATTGTTTTAAAATTAAACAATTCAATACTAGGAATGGATGGATTGATGAGACATGGTTGGCTTTTTTAATCACACGATTTGTTAAAATAATATATTTTGACCCATAGAAATAGAAACTAACGAAATATTATTTAATTCAAAGAATTAGTTTAATTATAATATTTAACAATGAATGACGTAAAGTCGAAAATCTCATGTTCAAAGCAGACAATCTGTAAAAAATCTAGAAATGTCGATATTGTTGATTTCACTACACAGGTGATTCTATAAAAGCACGAATAACGAAAGGAAATCTCTCTGTGAAAAAATTTCACTGTGAAAATTATTGTTCATTGTTCTCCACCGATGATGCAGCCTCCGAGGGTGCGATACGGTACCTTCTTTGGTTTCACACTCGCGCGTACTGCAAAAAAAAAATGCCCGGCTCTTCTACACGCCGCGGGCTCGTCTCGTCACTCCCCATGGGCCCTGTCTTGTTTCGCTTTTATTTTAGCAAGATCTGCACCCCGCTCCCTTCGAAGGTGCGCTCTTGCTGCGGCGAGGAGGGGATGATTTGGCACGATCGGCGACGATTAGCGTTGCGACAATTTCTTTCTCCATCTCTCTCTTTCTTAACTCGTGTATATGTGTACATATACATGTGGCGATTAGCTCACAATATTATCGCGCCTCGACACTGTCCTCGCGCCACTTCATGAACACGCTTATTGACATTGAAAAGCAAAGATGACACCTTTAGCCAAGAGAATGAGAACACCAGGCATATCGGAATCGAGTTTACGACCAAGTAAAATTAAAGTTATATAAATTAAGTATATTTTATATGAAATAAAATTATAATGTCATAGAAGGTCCTGATTGCTTTAATTAATTAATTGTCTATCATAAGCTACATTTCGTCGCTCTTCAATTGATCGATTTTATAACGTTATGAAAACTTAAATGTATTCAGCGAAAGTTTATTGTTCAACACGTGGTTAATTATTGCTATTTATAAACGAATTATTTTGGTCCAATTAAAGATCTGTGCATGGAATGATACGTTATAATTATTCAGCAACAACATTGACACCATACCCTGGTTTACTTACTATAAATCATGCGATTGTAACAGAATGAAACAATTAGATACGTGCGAACATGAGATGTATTATATTTGCGACAATCATGGATAAATTTAATGTTTTATATGAAAATGTGTAGATACAATTTAAGGAAATTTCTTATAAAATTATTTATTTTATTACAACTATCCTAAACATATTATTGATAAAATTTTTAAATTTTGTTATACTTTAGACGTTTATTGTGATGTGTTTGAAGAATTCATTAAACATAAAATCATCAAGTAAAGAATTATTTAAATAATTATTTAAATGATAAGTAAATTATTATTCAATTATTTCTTAATTATTGTAATTTAAGAATAACTGATATATTTTATTCGGTTATATATGTACAATATTTGTGAAAAAGAGTAGAGAGAATTGAAATAGGTGTCTTCGACAGCTTCAAAATATCGTCAAAGTTATCCGAGGAATATGAGTCATCAAGAGTAATAAGCAGTAATGCACATTGGAGTTCGGAAATGCCAACGATTTTTCTCTTCCACTCGTTCAGATCTTCTCGATTTTATCTGTCTTTCTTGTCTTCATTTAAAGCGAGAAGGATAGAGCGAATGAGGAGAAAAATCGTTGATATACTCAGCAAACGAGAATGAATTGAAATGAATTGAAATGGATTCAGATTTTCAGAAATATTGATTTACGAATGTTAAAATGCTTTTCAATCCTGAATGCATTTATATATAGGAATTGCATGGAGCATATCTCTATAAATCTGTCCTTTTAATCTAAAAATATTTTTTTTTCTGTGCACAACACATTGTGAATACTATTCAATTCAAAATTTGAATAGGAAATGCAATTTTTCAATCCAATTGCATCCAATTGAATCTAATTGAATTCAATTGAATCCGCAATTAAATCCAAAAAAAGTATTCGCTATTTAAAATACGCATTCGAATAGAAAAAAATTTCAATTCATTTTAATCCTCGTTTGTTAGATATATCCAGATCCCAATATACAATATACATTACTAACTATACATTTACACAGTTCGATTTATGTCAAAGTTGTAACATCAATTTTATGAAAATGGCCAATCACCTTCCATTCTTAAAAGGAACAGTTATGATTGGCCAATTTCATACATTGATGTTAAATTTTGTAAATCGAATCGTTTAAGACCTTATTGCGCCCTGCGCAATAGAAGAAATAAGGAATTAGAAATAAAGAATAAACGATTCTAATCTATCAGAAATCGAATACATCGGAATACACGGAATACAGTTTCTAATAAGTTAAAATTGTTTATTCTTTATTTCTAATTCCTTATTCCTTCTATTGTGCGCTTAAACATAGTCACTTGCTTACAGTTTTTTACACTTTTTACACTTAAAATGAGATAGATATATATTTGGCTCTGAAAAGAGAGAAAGCAAGATGTTGAGTGTAAAAAGTGTAAGCAAGTCGAACAAGATCTACTGGTAACAGGAGAACGATGAACTATTGTATGAGCGATATCCAATAATCTTTTCGCGTTGCTTGCACTTCTTACACTCAATATTTTCGCTTTTTCTCTTTTTAAGGCTAAATATATGTCTCATTTAAAATGAAAAAATATTTGATGATTTCATGCAACAGACCTACAGAGAGCTTTGTTTTGCATTGTGAGAAAAAGCAGAGCTTTTATTGGATTTTTTATTGCTCATTACTCATCATTCATCACGTCTAGTGTGCAATACGCGACATACGACACGCGATATCCAATAGACATATAGTTCTTCTGGAAACGTAATATGTTAATTGGATACCATGCGTCGCATGTTGCCGTATCGTTATACCGTTTACACCGTGCGAATATCTAACTATTGAGATTCGTTCAGGAAATCTGAGTATTGATAGAATGAGATAAACTCTAGGTGCACCTCAGAGTGATATAGACGAAGGAGTTTTTGAACGCCTTGGGTGATGCAATTGGGTGAACATCGATTAAGATTGAGAAAAGGCATAAAAGTAAGATTAATTGTTGTTACAATCACGAAAAAGAGATCGTATTTGTTCTAGAAATCAATTGTATATTGAACGTAGTGACCTAAAAACTTTTCAATAATTGTGTAACTTAATTTTACTTTTATCAGACACGTAATTTTATAGTGCGAAATGCGCATTGCGCATGCGGGGCGACTTTTACCCAACTGAAAAGTAGATTGACGATAGAGTGAAGTTAGAGTGATCTAACTTGTTTTTGAACGCTTGGGTAAATTATACCTGAAGTTTCTGAACGTCTGAGGTGCACACTAAAGCACTCTAGAGTTACCTAGGCGTAATTTCTGAACGCACCTCTGTGCGTTCGAAGTTCAGTAGTTTATGTTCACATTGTTCGTAAATTTTTTCAAATCTCAATACCGGGTGACGGGCATGTGTTTTATGATTGGTTATGTTATGATGACTATGATAAAATAGGACTATGATAGAATAGGCATGCGATACACGAGATTGCAACTCAACGTTGTAATTAATGATAATTATAAATTGACAGTTACGAATAGGATATATGTTGAATTATATATTCTGAATTAGCGTTAATGGTCGTTAATCACAATGCTGCCAGTAACGATATTCCAGCGGGTTTTACCTGCTAAAACAGCGCCCTGCTTGAGTCGTTTGTTATTCTTGAGTCAGGTGAACAACTCTGACTCCACTATCACGAAAAACGACAGTAGCAATACATCGAATATCAGCGAATCACAAAATGAATGTGCTGCGAACGATGTCGAATCTTCCTTGGGAGAGGAGAACGTTTCTCGCCTTTTGAAGGAAGCTGCCACTTATAGCGATGTCAAGGATACAAATTGGACAACGAGTCCTTATCCGGCCGGTGCTCCTACCTCAGTCGAGGAAGTTGTTAAACCGAAGATTGATCCATTAGACACTTGCATTGTGCTCTTTCCAGGACAGGGTACCATAAAAGTTGGTATGGTTCAGAAATATTTGCGCTTTCCACAGGCGAGAGAATTGTTCGAGATAGCCAACGAGATTCTGGGATACAATCTACTAGAACTCTGCCTAAAAGGTCCACAGGAGAAACTAAATCAGACTTGCTTTAATCAGCCGGCCACAGTGGTGAGTTCATTGGCTGCACTGGAGCAACTCCGTGAGGAAAGGCCCAGGGTATTCGAAACATGTAAAGCAGCCGTGGGCTATAGTGTAGGAGAACTGACTGCCCTGATCTTCTCAGGCGCTTTATCCTTCGAGAACGGTCTCAGATTGGTCTCTGTGAGAGGCGCTGCGATGCAGTACGCTTCTAACAAATGTCCTCAAGGAATGTTATCAGTCCAGTGTTCTCCACAAGCTTCAGTATCACAGGCGTGCAAGGATGCTGAGAAATGGGTACAAGATTGTGGTATAGAGATACCAGTTTGTCAGTAAGAATCATTTCAACTATTCCTGTACTAAGCTTTGTCTAGATCAAGAAATTTTCTCATCGACAATCTAAATAATAAAAATATAGCAAACAAACCATTTTATTGGTGGGTAACAATTTTAATGATTCTTTGAAAAAACTTTGGCATATGAGTCTAGATTCTTTAAGATAGAATTCTGTAAGATAGAAAAATTTTATAAATATCTATATTTGAAATCTATCTATATTTGAATATACATATATTTTTTGAAATACATTGGTATATATCGAATATTTTGATATTTATAAATATCATATTTTTTAATCCTGTGAAAATGTCACAACTCTGAAATAAAACTCTGTATTAAAGTTGCAGTGTTTGAATTTTGAAAAAATCATGATATAGTTCTAAAGAATTTCAATAACTATTATTTTTATTATGGATTTGTATCCAACATATTATGTTCATTGACATTGTCATTTCTTTTTCTATTTATATTCATATATTGACAATATTAATTATTGATATTCTTTCAAATTTTATTGCCTAGAGATCAAAAACATAAACTTGTAAGCAAACTGGATGCTTTTCAGCAACATGAAATGTAACACAGTAAATCATTACTGTTGCATCAATTCTTGCTATTTGCCAATGTTAAACAAAGATGAAGTGATTATTATGTCTCTTATTGGGAAACACCTATCTAATCTATCTATCATTTGATATTATCTACATTTTTACTTTTATTATTTGTCGACAACTATGTATCCAATAAAATGTATCATACAAATATATCCCATAATTTCCTGAATTTAAAATTGAATTTTATTGAATACATTGTCGGTTTCTAACACTGTTCTGTTTGATCTGGACAAGGCTTTATATACGCCTATTATATAATATTACATTCATTGTAATGAAATTTAATTATTAATTTTTTTAATTTAAGGTAATTTATAATAAACATATATATAGAAATATGGTGTTAGATATTATGAAAAGAATGATTGTAGGGTGGCAGTATATTTGTATACTCAATCGAAGATCTTGGCTGGGAATACTCAAGCTCTTGAATACATAGAAAAGAACGCGAAGAAGTACGGACTTTTCAAGTTAACTAGGCTGCCGGTATCGGGTGCTTTCCACACAAGATTGATGGAACCAGCGCTCAAGTCTTTCGGCAAGATGCTCCACACGTTAGAATTCGACGATTTCAGATGTCACGTCTATTCCAATTACAAGGCGTATCCGTATGGCAATACGGCATTAATTAGGAAATATTTGCCGAAACAAATTATATCGTCTGTGAAATGGGAGCAGTGCATGCAGCTGCTGTACAACAGACCCCCGGGAACTGCTTTCCCGCGAACCTTTGATGTAGGATCAGGAGGAAGAATGTCAACGATCTTGAAATTAATTAATTCAAAGGCACACGAACATTGTATAGCCGTCTGAGTACTTTTATATTTCTTGATAATACCAAAAAGAAATCTGAACATTTGACATTATTTTGTACATATTTGTTGATTAGCTTTATTATTCTAACTGTCTGTGACATGAGAAAATAAAGAGGATCAAAGTTATATTAGATACAAAAAATGTATATTGTAATGTATATGTATATGACATGCGTCTATTGGTACATCCACTGAATTTGTTTTCAACTTTTTTATGGAGGCACTAGTACTTGCCGTTTCGCGCTTAATCATACAACGATTCAGAAGTTTTCTCCTTTTCGATCGAGTTGCGCGTCCTTTTATTTCTCGCGAACCTTTCTTATCAATTGACGTGTGCTTCATTGTTCAAATTGAATATTGGAAGATGCAAAGCATACTGTGATACAGACATCAACTGCAAATGTTACAACTTCAAACATTTCAATCTGAAGAAGGTTGCTAGTGAAAATAATTGGTAAATATGATATGTATAGACATGTTCATATATCATATATTTTTTCTTCATAAATAATTTATTGAAACAATTTAATTTCGGCCGAAATCGAAAACTAAATATTTTATTGGTGTCAATTTTGGCCAAAAAATATATAAGTATTTCTTCTTCATAAAAACATCATAATTTAATTATTGAAACAATAATTACACTTATTAAAATTAATATTTATGAAAAAGAACTATATGGTTTTAGTTAGAATTATGATATAACGTGAATGTTTGTTTTCAGTTTCGGTCAGAAATTCTAGAAATAATTCGAATATCCACTTGAAACTTTTTGCACATTAATTATAAGTCTTCAAATTATATTTTAAAATTTATAAAAAAATTTTGATTCTTTTGGAAATTTCAAAGTATTTCCCCTTAAATAATGTATTATGATCATTTTAATAAATTGAAGATTGCAAGATTTAAATTTTATTAGAATTTAATCCAACCAATTAGAACAAAGTGGATTACGATAAAGTTTGTGATTGGAGTTAAAGTCTAATCTCTAATTGGCAATCCTGAATCTCCATACTCTAGTAAAACTAAGTATAAAATGTAAAAGTTACTAGATTTTACGTTGCGATAATTTTTATCTTCTTTTCCAATTTAATAACATTTAGCGATTCATATTTTTTAATTGTTATATTATGAATAATTTTTATTGTGCATATATTACAATAGAAAAATATATAAAAAAGAAATATAAAATAACGTTATAGATGTTTCCTAGTGAATATTTGTTAATTGGAAATCATCTATAAATAGGTTTGTTCGCGTTGCTTGCACTTTTAGCACCGACATCTTCGCTTTCTTTCTTTTTAAGGCAAAATATGTATATCTATTTCATTTTAAGTGCAAAATTATTTGGAGTGCAAAATTATTTCATGCAACGTGAACAGACCTAATGTCTATATAATCACCGCCGAATAATCGTACGCCTTTCTTGTTAAATTGAGTTAGCGGCGTAGCTCATTTCCGTTAATTTCCGTTTTCGGCTCAAATCGGAGCACGTGTGTAGCCTTTCTTTTCGCTTTCGGAGTTCAAGAATATAAAGCATATAGTAGTCGTTATTTCAGAAATTGCGCCGTATTTTTTCAGTAATTGTCATCAGATAGATATTTAAATATGGAAAACGAGACGAAAGAAGAGACAAAAGAAGAAACAAAGGAAGAGATAAAGGAAGAAATAAAGGAAGAAATAAAGGAAGAGGTAAAGGAAGAGGTAAAAGGTGGCAATAATCACTTAAACGGTGATTCTGCCGCTGAGACCAACGAGATCACAGAGACTATCGTCGAGGTTAGCGACACGCCGCCTGTTGACGCCATCGACGAAAAAGCAGAGCAAGAGACAAAAGAGAACGGAAAAGATGTGGAAGAACCATCTGAAGTTCTTTTGGCAAAGATTAAGACACAAGTAGAGGTATATATTTCGTATTTTGTGTTCATGCGCGCGAAAAGGAACAGTTTATTCTTCTTTTTTTTTTACATTAAATTTGAATCACGTCTCAGTAGTTTTGAATTATAACAATTACCCAAACAAGTAATAAATGTATGCTATATTTTTTAAAATCAAGGACACGGAGTGAGAGTCAGAATCGAATCTCGCAGATTACGAATCAATCGTTCTCATACGAGATCACTATGCGGTATAGCTCTAGTTTTCATTTCTTTTTATAATACTTTGATAATATAAAGATGTAGAAAAATTGCTTATTGAGGAAACAAAGAATTCTTTTTATTTGGTGACGCAAGTCTATGCAAGTCAGTTTGTCTTGTTAGAGATAACAAGACAATCTTGAGGTATGAAAAAACAACAAGCAAAGACCTATTGTTTTTCCATACCTCAAGACTGAATTTCTTAGTTCATCTTTCTTGATTTTCTTTTCACACTGAAAAGAAAAAAGATGAACTGTGTAAAAAAATCAATCCAAGCATTCTTAAGGCTAAATCCATAACCTTGCTTTAAGAAGCCATAAGCTGTAAGCTGTAAGGGCAAGAATTGTCGTAACATTTACTTAGACTTAAATTGTAGACATAAGTAACGCACAAACTTTCACGTATGACGTACTTATTGCTGTGTCTCTAAGAGACATCAATAAATCATATGTCATATGCCAAAGCTTGTGCATTACTTATGTCTACAACTTAAGTCTCTAAGTAAGTGTTACGACAATTCTTGTGCTCAGACCTTAAGTTGTAAATGATAAGTGATAATATATTGGCAGAACTTATGCTTTTAAGCTGTAGAGTTGGGTTTCGCTCAATTTGTTTAAGTCTAATGATTAAAGCCCAAAGACTGCGCAAAAACAGTTTAAAGGCAGAAATTATTGTCACTTAGAATTTTAATAGAAAGCTGATTTATAATCTTAAGACAATGTCTTATGACTTAAATCTTACGTCTTTAGTAACACACAAGAATTATTTTATGGCTCATGTGATGGCCATTCTACAATAAGCCATTAATCATAAATCAGAAGTTGGAAATTGATGACTGCGATTGATCAATTTCCAACTTCTAATTTCTGATTTATGACTAATGGCTTATTGTAAAATGCGTATTAAAGTATAAATATTAAGTATCTTTAAGGAATAAGTCATAAGACAATTCTTATGCGTAACCAATGCGCTAACAAAGTTACATAAAACTTAATTCCTAAGACACTGTCTTAAGATTATAAATCTAAGACATTGTCTTAAGATTATCAGCCTTTAATCTCTTTCGACTTATGACTTAAAGTCTTTTAAAGCAAGGTTTGGACTGAGACTTAGATGTGGGCCTACAGACCTGGGCCTACAGTATATTACAATACATACTATAATATTTTCTTAGAATTTTGTATATGTTTCTTTTCAAGAATAGGAGGTCTGTTCTTTTTCATATAAATATGAGGAAGAAAAATAGGCCTCTTAAATATTAAGAGAGACAGAATGATGTTTATGTCAACTTGTGTTACTAAATAATATTATAACTAATATTATTTTCTTTTTACAGTACTATTTTGGTAATGTAAATATGCAGAGAGACAAATTTCTCATTGAACAAACAAAATTAGACGAAGGCTGGATTCCAATGACTATCATGTTAAACTTTAAAATGCTGGCTGCTCTCAGCAAAAATGTCGATGTAATTCTGAAAGCATTGGAAACCAGCGATCTCATGGAGATATCTGAGGATAAGAAAAAGATACGTCGCTCTCCAAAGCATCCCCTGCCAGAATACAATGAAGGATATAGGAAAGCTCAGGAAGCTCGAACAGTTTATGTCAAAGGCTTTCCGTTCATTGACACAACTATTGACAAATTGAAAGTCTTTTTTGAACCATACAAGCCATTTGAAACGATTGTGGTAAAAATATTTGTTTGATATAGAATAAGTAAATATGACATTTTTGAGCAATGAGTAAATTATCCTGATATTAATTTCTTCTTCTCTTTTTCTTTCTCTTACATTAGGCCTCTGGCCTGTGTTACACCTCTCTCATATGCTTATGGTACATACATTGATTATTCAATTGCCACAAGCATATGAGACTTATAGTTAATGTCGGTTCCGAACGGCGGATTTTTTGGAGGTTTCTGTGGGCAAGGATACTCTCGGGAGGTTGCCGGCCTTTTCCGAGAGGAGACACGAGCGTAAATATTTTGGTTAGATATCTCTGTCAAGATCGAACTCGGGATATCTGGCATGATAGACCAGTACGCTGTCTGCCATGCCACGCTCACGCTCTGATATTAATTTGTTAATTATACTAAACATCTTTATGTTTTGAACCGAAATAAGAACAAACAAATCAATGTATTTGTGCTATTTATTTCTTAATCTATTTGATTATTTGGAATATTTGACAGATTTAATATATTGCCGGATATGAATATCGAAATAAATATGTATATCGAAAATTATTTCTAATGCGTTTACTATCTCAAATTTTACTTTGCAGATGAGGAAATATCAAGATAAAGATAAAGTTCTTAAGTTTAAAGGATCTGTTTTTGTGCAGTTTGAAACTTTTGATACCGCTAAAGCGTTTATGAATATAGAATCTGTAAAATATCAAGATACTGAGTTAATAAGGAAGTGGGCGTAAGTAAAAATGTATCTGGAGAAAAAGAATTGATATATATTGTATAATTTTGTTATATATATATA